CGTAACTTTGGCCACAGCGATGGTTCTTGGAACCAGAAAGCAGAGCTCAACAGCCCACTTTAAGGCTAGGCATGGCTGCTGGCTGATAGTAGATTTTAGAATTTCCTTGCTTGGCGTAACTTTGGCCATGATTCTTGGAACCCGAAACGTGAGCTGAACGACTGAAGAGTTTGCAGCTGAAGACTTTGTGTGTTCGACCACGTTGGACCGTGCCGTAGCCTCTTCAGGTAATTCTAGCGGAGAGTCTTAGATGTTGTGTGATGGGGGTGATATTCTCAGGGAGCAATTATAGCACCTGTGGTAACTTTGGGAACAATAGAAACTGTGGGTCTGAGTTATACTCCAGGGCACAACTTTCCAATTCACCGTATCTTCCTCTTTTTAATGGTAGCATAAAGCACCTAAAAGGCCCTTTGTGAAATTGTTGAATTTGTTTTCTAGTCTTTGAACATCAGGTGGCATTTGGTGTTGATGATTTTTTATTTTATTTTATTTCAGAGAGCACTGAGTAAAATCAGTCAAAACTGAAGACATCAACGGTAAGGGACTGGTTTTATTAACTATTCTGCACCACATTCAGCCAAGAAGTCTGACAGGTCCTATTGGCAACATGGGATTAATTATGGCAAAAAATCCTTTGGGCCTTGCTAAGGTGCAAATGCATCTAAAACATACACGTTTCTAACTGTTCCTGAGCTTCCAGTCTCTGTCGCTTGGGCTGAATGAGCCAGGTAGATGACGGCTGCCTGTCTTGTTCAATCCCTGAACACACCCACCTACACAAACGCCCACATGCAGAAACACAGACGCAGAGACTGGGAGTCTCGTACAGGATGGCCTTCCACTGGGTGACCCTTCCAAGTCATGAGCGAGCCCTGAGGGCGAATCAGCCTGGCGGAGTCAAGCGGGCTCAGCCGCACGCCTCCCCCAGTCCCTGAGGACCCCCTCGGTACTCCGACTGGAAGGCAATCCTTTTGGATCACCTCCATCCCACCTCCACTTCCTTAAAAAGAATGATGCCAATACCAACAAGACTTCTTAGCACCAAAAATATACATGGGGATACATTTCAATACAGCGCTGTATACAGTACAGGACAACATTCGTGGCTCAGGTTTGAAATGAGGCGTTCTTGGTATCTCTGAGCTTAGTGGTTTTCTTGCAGATGTTTCATTACCAACAAGTGAAGTGCTAGGAGGGGAAAGAATTTGCTCCCAAGTTACGTTTTAGTGGCTTTAGTGGCTTGTTGTTTCAGTGTTGGTAGAAGTAGCCTTGAGGTTCTTTAGTTGAGCTATTTGTTGTTTCCATGTTTGGCACTTCTTTGGCCATTATTTCCTGCGTGTTGGTCTGATGTTAGCTTTTGGGGCTTGTGATTGTTTCTTGAGGACAGAGTTCAATGGCCCACTTTAAGGCTAGGCGTGGCTTTGGGCTGATAATAGGCGTTTAGAGTTTCCTTGCCTGGCGTAATTTGGCCATGGCGATGGTCCTTAGAACTAGAGAGAGAGAGAGAAAGCCTCAGCTTTTTAATGCTAGGTAGAGCTGTTGGCTGATAATAGAGTAGGTGGCGGGAGTAACTATGACTCTCTTAACTGAAGCATAGTTGCACGGCTTGGGCGCCTCCCCGTGGCGACCGCTGGAGAAGGTATGGATGGTCTCTCTGACCCTCCCTACTGGAGCTAAGACCCAAGCCACCCCCCTGCAAGGCCAACCACCTTGTAGAGGGTTTGCTGCTGGTGACTGATACGACTCAAGTAATGAGTCCTAATCCCCCTGGACTTTCGGTCTCCAGCAGTAGAGATGGGGGCGCCAATGATTCTGGCAGCCCAAACCGAGCAGAAAATCCCAGCGCCCCCAGCTTCTGTGGTCTCCGTTTCAAGACGAAAGGGGCCCTCGGCAAACACCAGTCACACTGTCTCCTGGCAGAGGTGAATGCTGAGCATGTAGCTGTCCTACCCATTAAGCACCTGGCATGGACCCCCAAGGATGATGTGGCCTTGTGACCACATGCCAACAGGCTCTGGGAGGAAGAGGATGATGAGGAAGGCACTCTTCAGCCTTCTTGCCCCGCACTTCCCAAGCCTTTCACAGGAAGCCATCACAAAGCCCTTCCACCTAACCAAATAGGTTCCACCAACAGACCACCCAGGGAGAAAACCAGACCACCCAGAGAGAAAACCAGACCACCCAGAGAGAAAACCAGACCACCCAGAGAGAAAACCAGACCACCCAGAGAGAAAACCAGACCACCCAGAGAGAAAACCAGACCATCCAGTGGTCTCACCCCACCCTTCCTCCAGCCTCTCAACTGGTTGCAAACCCACTAACATGAACAACTGGACTCCACACCTGACCCGGCTGCCTCATGGAGACGTGCCCTCCTGGTAGCTGCGGCAGGCCGTTTCCAAGAGGCCAAAACGGGGGCCGAGGAGCTGACCCAGAGTGTCCGAGACTTTCAGAAGAGAGAGATCAGCTGAAAGCAGTGTAGGGCTTGACTCGGCCAACCAACTCCGTAGAGGAAACTGCACTAACATCCAAAAACTCTACAAGCTCCGGCGACGTGATGCTGCCTCCACTGTACTGACCGGACCGCCCATTTTAATGGTAGGTGTGGCTGCTGATGGAGAACAGATTTTATAGTTTCCTTGCCTGGCATAATTTGGCCGTGGCTGTGGTTCTTAGCGTTTGAGGAAGGCCCCACGAGGACAATTGATTGTGGCTACAATTTCATGTCCAACTTAGCCTGAGCTATCCTGGGCATTCCTCCTCTTGCCCCCTCGCCACTGGTCAGCTATCCTTCCCCCCCTTGCCCAGCCAGTTTCCCTTAGTGATCACTTTGCTTAATAATTTGCCAGCCCAAATTGTGGCCACTAGGGAGACAGCCTGATATATAGCGTTGCCTCGAATTGCCAAATGGGTGATATATAAAATTAACAAAATAGCAAGCAGTCATTTTCATCATCATCATAAAGATGAGCATAGTGAAATTTTAGATTTATGTTAAGGTGGATGAAATTGGGTTTTGAGTTTCGGAGAAGAACCTGCCAGAGTGTTCATTTTGAGGCTGGCTGCATACCTGACTCTGCCATGACATTATCTCATGTGCCAGACCATAATATCTTAACAGCTGTTTCTCCATCTGTCTCCCTTGTTTGGTGCTTCTTTGCAGACAGACCCTGGAAGAGCGTTTTGAGGACTCTGTTCAGAAGCAGGAGGAACCTTCTCAACTGCTGAAAACGTCTCTCTAACTTAAAGACAGCCACGCTTAGAGGATCTCTGGTGGCCCTTCAAGCAGCTGATTTCAGAAACTGGTGGCTATGCTGGGTGACATCGTGGAGAAGACCGCCCGTTGCTTTGTGCAGTCCTGGTGATCTTCAGTGTTCCAGGGATCTTGACCAACACAGGCAAGTCTTCATTCCATGGTGGGACTTTCACCCTGAATCCACCTTGAATCCACCGTGGGTTCATGCAAGGTGTGTTTGAATAGCTCTGTGGGCATGAAGCCCACCCTTCTTTCATGGTCTTCTCTCCCTCCTTTCTTCCCCAGGTTTGGATGGAAAGGCCTTCGTGTTCTCCAAGCTTTCTGCTAACTCCCACGTTCTCCTGAAGCCCAACCTCTACATCGAGGCTTGCGACAGTTGACCCTTTGTCTCCGCTTCTTCACCGACTTGACCCGCAGCTTCTCCCCCTTCTCAGCTGCTTCCCGAGACCACGACAACGAGGTTCTCCTCTTCTGAAACCCCAGTGGCTTTGAAATGTGGGTGGGTGGCGAGTGCACCGCTTGCACGAGGCCCAACCCCTCAGACAGGTCTACCACCCATTGGGTTGCATTTGGGATTCCGCCACGGGGATAGTCCAGCTTTGCCAAAGAAAGGGGGAGCCCCTCTGAGGTCAAGACCGATCTGGTGGTGATGCTGGCTCAGGAACAGGATTCCTATGGAGGCTGCTTTGATGGGGAGCCAGTCCTTTGTGGGAGAAAGATCTTGACTGCCAAAGAGGTACACGAGACCCAATTGCCTGTGGCCTCAGACCTGTTGCTGGATTGGACCTCGCTGGAGTTTCAAATCCAAGGTGACGTTCTGACAAGAGTCCCCACGAAGCCTTCAGTCCCAGAGGAAGGACAGTAGCAGTGTCAACAATATATCGAACAGCAAACACTGGCAAGGCAAAAGGGATTGTTTGTGTTTTTCAAGTACTTCTTTGTAAAGATGCATGCCTGTTATTTTTTTCTACTGAAAATAGATTAATCTTTTTAACCAGTATTATGCAGGAAAAAAGTACCTTGTTATATTCCCACCCCCATCCTTTACTTTCAATGCAATAAAAAATATATATATATAGGTTATCATTATGAAGAAATTACGAGCCAAATTTGAATTTTTAATCCTTATCTTGAACTAGGAAGGTTGGTGCATTTTGTTTCTCTATAGGGCCAGTTTTTTGTTTCAGTATAAATCTTTTTTCCATAGAGATCTCTAATCCTTGTGACTTTTCATACTTCAATTCATAGGAAATTGTGTCTTTGTGTGGGTTTAAAATCCTGCCTATTTTGATCAGTAATATTGTAATCTGGGGTGAAGGGACAGATGATTAAGTATTTCTTGTCAAAAGAGAGATTTTCTGTCCTTTCAATTTCTAAGGCCTTAGAAAAATGGAGAACTCTTCATTCTTTTTCTGTCCACTGAGAAATTCTGTAAGAAAGAAATTATATACCTCTGGTGTTGTGTGGATGGTCATTCAGAGATATGTGTCTTCTAAACAAATAAAAAAATAGAACAACCTCACTGGAAAATGCACTTCTGCCCTACGAGATCTTCTATAATAAAATCATCTGTGTTTATGATTTCCTTGTTGTGTTTTCATTTTGTTTCCATTGGGTGGGTATTTCAAATAATGTTTTATTAGAAATATTCTCATGTTGACCCAAAAGGGGCCACTGGAGGTAGGATTGGAGTCTGCATGTTTGTACAGAATTTGGCATCACAAAGCATTTCCTCACTTCCCCTTGATAGGAAGGGTGGGCTCCCTTCTCCCTCATTTTATTAAATCTAGAGGTCAACTGACTCCAAACAGTTGTAGGCAGCTTACACTTCCCAAAGTATTTAAAGTGTTCAAAAAAAAAAAACCCTACAAAACACACATGTACATCACTTTAAAAAGGGGATCCAAGGAGCTCAACAATCTTGCCACCCATGTGGGTGAGAAAGTTCCCTCTCATTCAGAATAACAGTTGGAAGGGATTTGGGAGGTCTTCTAGCCTACCACCCCCCACCCCCCCCGCTATTTTGTGGTTGAGTCTTAAATCTTTGCGGTCTGGAGGATGATGAGGAAGAAGAGGACTTGCTGGATACCTATGCATCGCCCTCAAAAGCAAGTGGGTCAAGGTGGCAAAAGGGCCCAAGAATGAGACAAACCCTATTTTTAAGGGTCATCAACTGAAATCTTGGGATAGACTGCCTCTCAAACTGGAGGTTCTGTTCTGATGATTGCAGCGAAGGTAAGCCCTTCTAGAAATGGCCTCTTGAGTTTGATAAAGCTTGTTCTGTGTTTCCCGTAGCCTCTTCCAGAAACAACTTAAGTGACATTTAACTGGCATGGGGAAAGTGAGGTGGCTTGATCAGTGCTGCAGAAAAAATCATTTTGTTTTTCTGCTGTTCATATGAACAGCAGAAAAACAAAATGATTTTTTCTGCAGCACTGATCACTGATATATATATACAAAAGCAAAATACTCCTCACACATCATCACAAAAAACTCCAGAACTGTAAAACTTACAAACGGTGATGCAATATTTGCAATCAAATTGCCCAGCTCGGAGCTGAAACCAACGGCCCAACTACCCAACAGAGCTACTAAGGTTCAAACACGTTTCATCTGTGAAGTTGGTTTTGCCCCATTTTATGATCTTTCCTGCCCTGTTAAGTGGTTTTTCCATGGACCAGAGGGGGGGCCTGGTTTCCCATGCTGCCTGCATCTCACATGTGGGGCTTCACTTGTTCACACAATCTGGTTTGTGACATGCTATGAATCCATACCGGTCAATGAAACGGGGCTTTGGGGCCCCTGAGGTGAAGCACTATGAGGTGAAATATAGTGCTTTTGCTGTTGCTGTTGCTGTTGGTAATTCAGTCCCTGCTAAATATCAAGTTGAAAGACAAAGAGAAACTAGGAGTTTAGTAATTTGCAAACCCAGGTAGGGAGTTGTACAGCAAGGCATACACAAAAACACCTTGGTGATTGTTGCAGGTTTCTAAACACCTTCCATACAACTGTAGGACATTTTGATGAAAACGTCACTCAAAGTGAACCAAGGGGAAAAGAAAAATTTTAATTTTCTGAACTTTTAGTAGAAACTTTTGGACAGGGAACCCCCCCCCCCCACAAATGTCTACCCCACCCTTAAACTCGTGCACAAAATGCTTGCAAGATAGACATGATTTGAAGAGTGTGCACGGGAAGTTTGTGGACTCAAAAACAATAAAAGCGTAAATGCAACCAAAGCTGAAAATGTTTATTAAACAAAGCATAGCAAAAATAATAATAACTTTAATTTCAAAGCATATCATAGGAAGAAATATCATTTAACAAAATTAATAAGTCTTTCTACCTGGTCTTTCTACCACAATTCCTCTCCAGGCTATGCCCAATTTTCCTGAGATATAATAACAGCATGATATGTTTCCTTAAAGCCAGCCCCTTTACCTGCAATTTCTGCACATGAATATGTAAAATACACACCAACATAAAGTAAACATGACTACAACTGGAAGTCACCAAATGCAACTCTAGGATGGATTTCATTCTTGGATCCCACCATATCCCACCATAGATGAATGATGGCTTCTCTTCCATGTCACCAATTCCTCAAACTAAGTTGGCTTTTAAAATCACGTCTTCATCCATTTCAGATTGTTCCTTTAGCATCGTATATAAGTGTAATTCCTGATTTTCCCATATAGTTGAGCTGCCGAAGAAGTATTAAAAGCCAAAGCGCCTTGCCATTAAGCTGCTTCTATCCCAGCATTTCAGATCCACATGGGGTCTCTTCATAATAGAGTGCAATAGGACCATTCTTCTGAAGCAACCTGGAAGGTCAAAAACAACATATGCATTTACCAGAAATTCTCTGACCCCTTATCTTGCTTCTTATAGAAATATTGTGCAAAACCACGAAATTGCTGAACTGGAAGTAAGCATGTTTCAGTGAATAAGGATGGGTCTGGAAAATAACAGAAATGTACTTTTCCTTTTTGGTATAGTTTAACATAAGAAACGCCCAGGGCTAGGCTGAGGTTATGACATGTATAAAAGTGACACCTCAGGAAGAGTTGGGGGTTCAGAATTTGCCGTGCTGATGCTCTGAACCTTTGTGCACAAATAAAAAACCTGTATTCTCCAACCTTTTGTGGTCTTGTGTCCTGATTTGGAAATGGGATCTGCTGCAACACTACCCCCAAGGGCACTTTCTTTGCCAGCTAGAAAAGACACAAAAATGGACCGGTCGTTATTTGGTGATGTCTGGAACTCTGTGGGAAATCTGTTCCTTTATCCTAATCCCTGCAACTCGGAATGGGATAATTTGCTGTGGCCAACTTGCTGTGAACAGTTGTGGCCAACTGATGATGTTACCTAGTTTAGATCATGAAAGGTCTGCAAGAAAACAACCAAGCTCCACAAAATCTTGTTCCCTTCTAGCACTGATGATGTTATTTAGTAGGATCATGGAACGTTTGCAAGAAAACAAGTCAGCTCAGAGAGGTCCTCATTTTAACGACCTCGGAAGGATGCAAGGCTGATTCAACCCTGAGCTGGTCAAGATCGAACTCTTGACAGAGTGGGCGGAGTCGACTTACAGCAGCAATAGCACTTGGACTTATATGCCGCTTGACAATCCCGGCAGCCGGCAGTGGCCTGGAGTAGCCTGAGTCCTGCATTCTAACCACTGTATCACCATGGCTTCTTATCCCAGAGAAACCCAGCAAAAATGCAACTTTGCCATTCTTTTCCCTCACCGGCACATCCCAGGGTTCAACCAAAGAACCATCTCGTTTCTGACAGCAATTCATGGAAGCGTAACGTCTCGCCTTTTCTGCAAGCCGATCCCAGCCTTTTGCCTCTCCGAAGTTTGCAGTTGGATCTGCTGGATCAAGGATCACTGGCCTGAATTGCAATAAAGGAAGTTAGAATCTTACGTTGCAGGCTGGAGCAGATGAGTTCAGTTCTCTTGAAATTTCTCACGTCTGTTAACAGATTTAGATTTTTCACATGAAAGAAGAGCTGCTAACTGGAGCAGGCCAGCTGAGCAATGGGACAACTCTCTGTGGCTAACAATTCAATGTAATTATTTAAAATAATTTTACAAATCATTCTATAATTTTTGTCATTTACATTTTGTTTTATCCTTCCTTTTGCATCCTTTAACTATTCTGTTCTCTCATTTCTTTGATATTAATGTAATTTTTGTTCCATGGCAAGTTGTCCCGCCTGGCTGTTCACCCAACACATCCAAGATCAGTCAAATCCTTACTGGCAGTCTCCATAGAACTACCAACCTTAGTTATTTCGTGGCTTAACTTGCTGTGTGAACCCAACCAGTCTGATAACATGTATTTGAGAGTATTACATGGGTTTAGAAAATGTACTTGCTTGAGCATTTTGTGCCAACCCAGCCAAAAGCTTATTGAAACCAGGCATTTTCTAGGTCTTAGAAAATATTGTTCTCAGCTTTCCTAGAGTAAGTACTTTCCATTAACTTCAGTATTTGGTGGATCTACCATTTCACAACTACACCAATAGTAGGGCTATTGCAAAAATAGCTAGGTTGCAAAAATTCAGATAGATGGCAGCAAAGAGTTGTGTGTCTTCTAGTGACCACCAGATTAATAAATGGTCTTCCTAGGTCAGATGAAAATCAAGCTAGAACTTCAGGATTAATTTTGCAAGGGAAGAAGAGAAGTTGGACACACACACACACACATCATATTCTTTGTTTCACAGCTGTTTTGCTCTCGCCACCCCAAAAAGGAAGACACATCGATGCATAAGGCAACCAAAGGTAGCAACAGCTCAAAAGGTGTTAGCATTTTACTCCAATTTGAAACTCGCTGGGAGCTGTTGTTGCAGGACTTTCTCCACTATGACAAATCTCATTACTGATTTTTGAAAAAAAACTGCCTTGGAATCCAAGGTGGGAGACTGACCTCTTTTTACAGAGTTGCTCCTGTAAATACTGCTTGATGATCTCATTGTGAAAATCATAGTATTCCGTCCAATAGATACAAATCTCCTCATAGTGCTCAATGAGCCACAACACTGTCCGGAAACCCTCGGCCATGTTGAACTGGGCTTGTCTACTTCCTTGCTCCCATGCGTAGACCGTTAGTAGCTCAAGGGCATACTTCGGGGGGATTGACTTTTCTTTCACCTGGGTTACACAGAAAAGCAGTTCAAATAAAACTCACTGCACTATTTGAATGAGGAAGCCTGACTAAAGACAATCTTCCCTTGACTACCTTGTAAATAATTGAGGCAGATACCCTGAAACAGATTTCATTTATTTTAACTTATCAACTGCAGTGATTCACTTAACAACTGTGGCAAGGAATGTTGCTTAACACTTGCCTCACTTAACAAGAAAAATTTTGGGCTTAATTGTGGTCGTAAGTCAAGGATTACCTGTATAGTATCCCAAAGAACTGCAGAAAAAACAATGGCTACCAACCTGCCTTCCATGGAGGACCCATATACTGCACGAGTCAAAAAGAGGGCTGTGAAAATATTTACAGACCCCTCACATCCTGGACATAAACCAGTTCAACTCTTACCCTCAAAATGACACTATAGAGCCCTGTGCACCAGAACAACTAGACACAAGGAGAGTTTTTTCCCAAATGCCACCCGTCTGCTAAACAAATAATTCCCTCCACACTGTCCAACTATTGACAAAGTCTGCACTGCTATTAACTATTAATCTTCTCATCGTTTCTATCACCCATCCCCTCCCACTTGTGACTGTATGACTGTAATTTTGTTGCTTATATCCTTACGATTTATAGTGACTGTTTCCTAGTATGATTTGCTTATTTGTATCCTATGACTATTTTTAAGTGTTGTACCTGATGATTCTTGACGAATGTATCTTTTCTTTTTATGTACACTGAGAGCATTTGCACCAAGACAAATTCCTTGTGTGTCCAATCCCACTTGGCCAATAAAGAATTCTATTCTAGTCTAGTCTAGTCTAGTCTATTCCAGTCTACTCTACTCTACTCTACTCTACTCAAAGCATTGAGATGGGGCTGGGACGGTTTCCTAAGAAAGACTGACTTCAACAACCCTCCTACAAACTCTTACTCGTGGGAAAACCATAAATTGGGACCCTGAATCAATTCTCCAGACAACAGACCTCTTTGTACCAGTGTTTCACCAGGCGGATGAGGCTCTTCAGCTTGGTGGTACGGTCCACTATGAAATCCTTCTGCAGCTCTGTGAAGCAGGGAGAGAACTCGCCACATTTGCCTGTGCTTATTAGATCGACGTATATCTGAGGGTGAGGCTTGGAGTGTTGAACATATTGGCCTGTCAAAGAGAAAATGCAACTAGGCCTCAAAAGCCCTCCACCAACTTTGTAAAGTGAGAATCTTACTCAATTTCTCCAGTGGAAAAAGCTGCTTTAGAAAGGCAGGTCCAACTATGAGCTCCTTTGTTCCTGAAGTAAGCCTGGGAAAGAGATACCCTCCTGAATCACTGCAGGGAAACTGAGGAAGCCAGGTGGGTGCAAAGCAGACCCAACACTCACACCCCCTTAAAATAGGTCTAAGGCCAGCCCTTTCCACCCAGAAAAACCTCGCCCGTGTTCTCCCTTCCTTGGAATTGATGGCAGGAAGAGAATTTTTCCACTTGCTCTTCAGTTGTCCGTTCATTTGTCAGAATTTCTGAATTGCTTCCACAACTTACTGACATTCAGTTTAGAGCAGCGGTCCCCAACCTTTTCAGCTTGGGGGCCCAGCCCAGCACAGGGGGGCAGGGGGGGAGGAATGTGTGAGTGGTAGGTGCTCTGTTTCTCTATTTCTGTGAGTGGCGGGGGCACACACCCTCTGCTCTCACGAGGGGAGGTTTGCGTGCAAGTGAAGGGGTCTTGCTCTCATATGCAAAACTCTACTCCTGCAAATGGAAGGTACTTTCACTTGCACGCCAAGCTCCATTCGTGAAAATGGAGCTTTGTGTGTGTGAGCACAAGTGCCCTCCACTTTGGCGAGAAGAGCTTGGTACATGCTCTTCACCATCATGATTAGGAGGCTGGAGGCTAAAACATACAACAAACGGTTACAGGAACTGGGCCTGGCTAGTCGAGGGAAGAGAAGGACCAGGGGAGACAGGAGAGCATCTTCCAATATTTGAGGGGCTGCCCCAGAGAGGAGGAGGAAGGGGGTCAAGCTATTTTCCAAGGCACCTGAAGGCCAGACAAGGAACAATGGATGGAAACTGATCCAGGAGAGATTCAACCTGGAAATAAGGAGAATTTTTTTCTGACAGTGAGAACAATCAACCCCTGGAACAGAAGTTGCCTCAGGAAGTTGTGGGAGCGCCATCACTTGAGACTTTCAAGAAAAGATTGGACCGCCATCTGTCAGAAATGTTATAGGGTCTCCCGCTTGGGCAGAGGGTTGGACTAGATGACCTACAAGGTCCCTTCCAACTCTGATTATCTGTTACATCTCTCCCGCAGCTCAGTTTCAAACAGGTTGTGGCCCTGGGATTAGGGGCCCTGTTTTAGAAGACAAACAGGTCTCCTATATGGCTCTGGTGATCCCTGCCCACCCCTAGCTGGGGACGGGGTGGGGGGGAAGGTTTTTTTTTTCCCCCTTGCTCAGGAAGAAAAACCCACCTAGGGCATCGTAGGCCGGCAGGACATCAAACTCAATGGAATCATTTGACTCTCTTGAAC